TGCACTGCCAGTGATACCACGTACACGATCTCGTATAGGCTTCTTCACAAGGCTTCTGATAATACACGTACTCAAATGAATCTTTACCAGGATTTTGATAACAGTCATGTTCTGATATGAATCTTTACAAGGCTTTTGATAACTTATACGAAATGAAATAATTCTAGACGAGGATTTTGATAACATACATGCTCTGATACGGTACTTTACGAGGCTTTAGATAATATAGTCCATGCTCTAATGAGATCCTTTACTAGAGTTCGAAAAGTTTTCAGATGTTTCATAAAGTTCTTATCTCATCAAACCTTCAAGCGCCGGACTGCACTAAAATATTCGCCTTATAAAATTTACTTATCACCTCCTGATAAAAAGATGAGAAAACTGCTTCGAATTGTTTTTGGAGCGCGTATTTACAGCGAGGAGATGTAACTGTTAAGTAGAAGGTGGCAAATTAATCAAGCATGTAACTCGCATTCCAGAGCTTGAATGCGTATAGATCAAGAAACGAAAAACTCGAGAAATTAATAGCTCGCATCACACGCTACACGTATTGTGTACACTGGACCAGCAACAGGTATAGGAAAACTCTGTGGCCAGGTGCAGGCCTTTATGCGATGAATTTATCTCATCGACATAAATGATATTATTCTGAATCCGTAGAAGTTTTAACAAAAAAATCTAGCATAAAATAAGGGATGCCAAGTAATAAAAAAAACGAGGTCCCAAAACGTATCACCACTAACATCTATTTAGTCTGGCGGTTTGCACACTCATCCATTTTCTTGGCTGTAAGACCACTAACTTTCTACAGTAGCAGTGCAGCCAGATATTATTTATTTTCATTGAAAATGGTGGATCCACCTAGGGTTCCCAACACTCGGACGAAAAAAAAACGCGGAGGCATCCAGTTCAGTAATTCAGAACAGAAAGGTAAACAAGCTTCAGTGTAGCCAAATGAAATGGAACGCGCTTAGGACGATGAGAGCAGAGGTACATATTGGGTATGCAGTTTATCACTTTTTCTACGGGCAAATGACAAGAAGGGCTCAGTCATCTAAGCTATGTAAAACTTTTAAACTCTTCTCATGTTACTGAATGACGTGGTGATGAGACGAAAAATAAAGTACAATTGGAACCGATCAAAAATTTCAAAACTCTGAAAATGATCACTATTTTAATTAAGGTCTTCCCGAATTATTGAGTTATTGAGTGCTCTGATGCTCGGTTAATGGAGGTTCCATCTGTACGGCACAGTGATGATAAATATTCTTGGTAGCACAAGACAGACCCCAACAGGCCAAATGCAGGAGTGAAGGCGTTTGCTTATATGGCGCTGCCAGCAGCTGACACGCCGCAGCTTAGGGCATCAGTTACTTTGAAGGGTTCGAGTTGCCTCAAACTGCTTCGTAAATTAGCCTCAAACATCAGTGAACCATTACCATGTCGCAGGCAGCTCTTTCGTAAGGATCGGAATAATGCAACACAATTCTGCCGTCTGAAAAAACTGGCGCAAGTGCAAGATATATACTACTGATACAAGGGGACAAAAGCTTTACAGTTGTGTGAATAATCGATTCATCATTAACGTCGTTCAACCGCTTGAATCGCTTACAACCAAGACTTCAAATGCGAATAAAAATTGTTCATATTCCCATTGATAACGTTACAAAGAAGTTTGCTTTTCAGTTTATATTCACTGTTCAGGGATTCATTAAGATTCGCAACCATGAAAAGAGAGGGACATAAATGACGTAGTTGACGTCTTAGGCTGTAGCGTGCTTATTAATTTACAAGGCTTCGACGGCTGCGGGTGACCGCAGCTATTACGTCTTTAGAACGAAATGTACAAATTTAATCGTATCGAAAAGCGAACGTGATGCACGTTACCTGTACGATTTTGTGTCATTCTACCAATTGGAAGTAAAGCGCTGATGGTCGGCAGGTTTGATTGATGGCAGCTGAGAGGTGCGACTAAACAAGAGCTGGCGCAGAACAGCAGCTGCTACACAAGAGGGAACCCACACAACCAACACAGAGAAAGTCATCCACCCAACACCTGAGCCATCACAAGACCCTTCATTACAACGTTAATCAATTCTATGGCGGAGTGAAGGGAGAACTGCAATATTCTCAACACTTGAGATAGGACACAGTGTCTGTATTCTTTAGACTATAGAGCAAAGAATATTTTACGCTTCTGGTTCATTTATCAATTTCAAAGAAAAATAGTTATAGAATAACAAAACAAGTGATACATTAGTTGCATAATTATAAATTAAATCCGTGAATTCGGGTGCACATTTTTCGGGATGACAAAAGGCGTTTCCACATTGTACGGTGTAAAATGTAGGAAAATTATCCTACATAATTTAAACGTATCAAGAAAAAATATCTTGTCTGAATATGCGTTCATGATTCTTCTCCGAGTCTTTCACGTACGAGTTGAGAATGAATATCTGTCATTGCGAAGCGAATCAATTCCTGTATAAAATCCTATATTAATCGAGCGAATCCAGAATTCATAATAAAAGATTGGCAATGATAGCCCAACACTGACATATTTTCTCAGAGATTCTTAATTGAGAATAAATGAAGTCGTTCAAGCCATCAAGAAGGGAGTAAAGGTTCGGAAGTAGCGAACAATTTCGATATGTTAGCAGAAAATGCATGTGCGTTGTTGCAGCACAATTAAGTTACAAGCTGTTAGGATAACATATTTATTTCGATAACGAATTTTCAATGAATATTAGCAGATGACGTCCCAGGATAAAACAAACACCAACGAAACGAAAACTTGTTAACCGGTGATTATTTTACAAACTAAAGCTCCTCGCTATTGAAAAATTCGTCGACAAAAACGATGGAGAGCATTTTAAAAAATATTATAGTTTACTTTTTATTTATTTTGATTTTATTTTCTTTTAATTGCGGATATGATTTTCCATTAAAATGAACTAGCTGGTTAGTCCGGCGTGGACCGTGATGATATAATTAAAATCGTATAAAATTATCATTCAATCCATAATCTCATTTATAAGAATGAAAGGAGAGTATGATAATTAAAAAAAAAGAACCGTTCAAACGCATGTATGACAGAACTGTCATTTAAAGCTCCAATTCAAAGTTATTACATGCCCTCAAACCATTGAAGTGAACGTGCGAAAATTTTAGCTCCTACTACCCAAGTACCTATACAACCTCTGGTGCAAAGAGTAAGTACATTTTTAAGTCCAACATCTAATGCAAATCCTTCCATACTGATAACAATACATTTTATAGGACGATTTGCAGCATATGTAGCAATACAAAAAATGTTTTGGCATAATATTTACAAAATGCATCATCTCTTCAATTAGGCCCTTCCCTTCAAATGTGCAAACTTTGATATGTTTGAACTTCGAACATTAATGGGAAGGATCCTAATTTTATTCAGTCGAAATTGAATCCCCATCTCGCAGTCCGTCCAATAAATTAATTTGGTTTATGATGTTGCTAATTGATAGCGGATCTCATTGAAATTGTAGTGCTAGAAATATCACCATAATAATTAAAAAAAGGTTATTTACATTCAAAATTTACCATTTCCGGAGTATATTAAAAAAAATTACTGCTCATTTTCGTGTGGTTTGCTCGCTCGTTTAATTTTTCATGTGGTTTGCCCGCTCGTTTAATAAACACTTATTCAGCATATTCAGTTGGGAACAAAGCCATTGTGCTGCACATCAGACACATGATGGCACTCGTCAAAGGGAAGAGAGGACTGTAAGACACTCGTGGACTGAACGTTCCTTGCGGGGCAAAAAAAATGGTCGGTCAAGTCGCCCCCCCCCCACCAGCGCCGTGCAGAGTGCGATGGCGTTCGTTTGATTAGCGACTTTGCCGCTACCAAATTTGGCGAGGCTGAGCTTGGCACCAGAACGCAGGAAATACTCCAATGAGGGACCTGAGTGCGCGTCTACAGATGCGGCCCAACTGTACTTCCCCAGTACACAGCAGCATCCGCACACTTAGCTAACCTACGGATACAGCACTACACTCTGCAAACCCGCGGCTGAGCCGTTAAGCGTACACTTCTCTAGTCCACGGCTGCAGCCGAATACCTTATTAGCACGCGGCACGCGCCTGTCTATATTCATATTCGCTCGAAATCCGGCACCACATTTCTGCTCCTTCATGTTGCTTCTAACACATCTATTTCCTGATCATGGATCTCAAACTTAAAATATAGCCGGCTACTGGGTACTGTACTAACCTGACACAAATATAGACAAGGATCCTAAACCCGATTTCGACTTTCGAGCAATGACCATTTCTTATTTTCAAACATTACCAACTTTTATGCACTGATAGAAGTTTTAAATGGAAAACATTTAGATAAAGTACAGAATATAAAACATAAACGATACAAGTAGCCATTAATAGATGAAAGTGGAACTGTTGAAGACTGACCGTAATGTAATAAAGAAATGGCAGGCCGAAGAAGACCGAAAACGCTACAACACGTGAGGTATAAAAGAGTTAACCCTATAATTTTCTTTCTACGCACCTAACAAAGAAAACTTGAGATTTCGAGGACTTTCTTCAACATATGCTTCAAAGAGATATTTGTGTATATTTAATGTAATAATTGACGAGAACGGCGGAGATCGCGTGGCCGCATCCGAACTTTTTCAGCGGTTTGCCACTGAAATCTGCGTTAGCATTACCTGATAGGCTGATTCCCGAGTTCATTGCACCAGAGACAGGAAAATATTTCTCCAAAATCGGATTAAAAGATTGTATTGTTGTACACACCATTATTTGATACCAACAAAATTAGTTGTCCAGTATCTGAAAGATTCATTGACGATAAAATCATTTCGCCTCATGTATAAGCTACAACTCAGTAGAATGATATGCTATCTTATAAAACAGTCCAAGATATCTAGCCTAATGGTCAATTTGTTTACTAATGAAATCGTTCAGAATGGTTTAATTATAAGGTAAGAAATTTACGTTACCATTTGCAGGAGCCTTCTGAGCGTGGGTGTGACGGGGAGCTGCCGAGCAGAACGAGTCGTCCTGGACCGCCTCGATGATAACCTTCCTCCTTCTTCCGCCTCCTTGAGGCACCCGAGACACGCCTCGTCAGCCTCACTGAGGTCTCTACCACACGAGGAGTAGATGGACGAAGCGGTCACACTAGACGCGCTGTAAACGCCTTCGTCTGTGCTCGTACCAAAAGACGAGACAGACGAGCCGGCCTCACTGAGGCTACCCGAGTACAGAGGGTCGTCACCAGCCAGGCTCGCGAAACGCGACGAACATGACGATGACGAGGAAGAGGCAAGAGAATGACGTTTACAGAGACGAACGTTGTCTGGAATACCCGAATCGAGAAGTTGAGAAGCCAAATAATAGGTGTCGCTACTGCCTTCACCGTAGACGGTTTCGTTGTATATGTTCTCGCGAGGACGAGCCCCCTGACAAGTGGAGGAATGATTCCTTCCATGATTATCGGATGACGATCTCGAAGGATCACTGGATCGCAGGGGGTGGAGGCAGTCTTCCGACTCCATAGCCTCGCTGAGCTCTTCTTCACCTGCAGCTCTGCATGAGCTGGAGGGAGTTCTCGGCAGGGGCTCAAGGCTTCTGAAGTGCGAGGATGAACAATTAGGAAGAGCGTCTGGCACGGCATAATGTGGACGGGCATCATGATTAATATTTTCTTTATGAGGCAGCTCATGAATGATTTCCGTCTTTGACATTATATTTTCATTGGGTAACATTTGCATCCCAAGTCCTCGATTTGAACTTCGTTTGATAGCGAGTGGTGGAAGAGTCTGTGAGCGACGGAGTGGTGAACCTGTGAACTCCATGTATGAGTCGACAACCGACAGGGGCGTCGAGTATGCCTCGTGCGACAGACATGCACTGGGGGTTGACAGCGGCAAGATGTGGCGGCTGAGAGCCAGAGGACGGGCAGGTTCTCCGAGTACGTCGTATATGGACGCCGATCCAGCGCTGCGGGTGCTGCGGACGCTGCCGCTAACGGTGGTGCGTCGCGTCCTCAGGGAAGCCACACCGAAGAGCCGTGAGAAGTCGTCGCCACGAACGCTCGACGACCGCGCCAGTCGAGGCTTCTTGTCATCTTTGCCGCCTCCAGGTGCCCAGTTGGTCCAGATGTTGCTCTTGACTGGCCGGGGTACCGCGCACAGAAGTTCCATCTTTTCCGAGAAGAGTAGCTAATAAAAGCTCACAATTTAGCGCAGCACATATTTTTCTTGACCTAGGAACATCACATCACATCTTATTCGATAACCAACACGCCTGAACTTTCACATTCTAAAAGCAACTTAGCAAATGATATGACCCTGTAAACAGAAATTATAGAGGTGAACATGTTATCCTGTAAATGACTTATGATGATGAAAGGAAAAACAATTAAGGGGTAAAAGATATTAATAGAATAATAATAATTATTTAACAATAAGACTCAACTTTAAACTATTTTTTATGGTGTAACTACGACTCTAAGTAACTGTGTATATAAGGCAATATGCGTTACATTAAATATTTCGAGCGTAAAGAACTACGATACAAACTCTTACCGAGCAAAAACTCCCAATGATGCGTATTGGAATAATCACCATGCGTGCGTACTTGCTGAAAAGTGACTAGTATCAATTGAATAACCTCCAGTTACACGAGGTTTTCAGGACAGCATGCAAGACCTCAAACAATGAACCACAATCGCGCTTCGAGATCCAGAGTGCAGGCGCAGCGAGCAGGTACAGCGGCAACGATGACCTCGTCAGCGCAGGAAGCTCGACGGAAGCACCGGTAATTACGGGGCTTGAATAATCGCATTGACGATTAGGAGATCAGCGGGTCACGTAGGATAAGGCGACGGGTGCCTGCAGCTCGTGCGTAATGAAGTGAGCTACGATTAAACACATTCAACTGGAGCAACCTCGCATTGAGGCAATAACAGAGCAAAGTTTGACAGATGGGAAATACGTGAAGCAACGGCATGGGAAAGCGAGGGGATATATCGAACGCATCAACAACTTAACAATCATGGGTCACACAGCCGCTTTTTTTGGGCAGTCTACATGAATAAAAATGAAGGAAGAAAGTTTGCATTAATAAAATAAAGGATATAATGTCCACCGCATGGCAGCAGTATTTTCATAAAAAAAAACATAAATTTCGATGAGTTTTCTGACTTCATCATTAGCGGAGCAGGCGTTCCGCACCACCCTCTCTCCATTCGTCAGGAACATCCATTCTCCTGAAGGTGGGGCATAAAAGCAGGTGTACAGAATGCGTGTGATGAGGTTCGGTCACCCACACCTCAGCAGGAGGCCGCGTCACAGAAACGTGCGCACCCGCCTAGCATATGCAGCAGCGGCCACTGCCGGCCAGCGCGCTCCTGCCATCGCATAACAATGGCTGTGCAAGAACAATGCTCATGCTAGACCGACGTGGTCTTCCTTAGCTCACTATAGAACTAAAATACACTATATCTCAGAACAGTTCATTTCTCTCTCAGAGATTCGGGCGCAAGCTATTGTTCCCACAGTTGATTATGGAATAAGCTAAAAATTATACAACGCACCAAGAAAAAAACTATAATGTAAATTTGTCGAATAGAAGTAAACTCAGAATGATTTCTAATCGCATTTGATCACCAGCCAAATGGTCACTCAAACGCAAACGATAAGATATATTGGAGATTAGAGCATGGGAAAGTAACTGAATGGAACTGCCAGTCAAAACACATAACAACTCGTGTGGATGCCCGATAAATGAGAATTTGAAGCAATGATATTAACAACCAGAGTGTAAATATACACAGATTTTTACACCCTCAAGCGGCATGGATTTATATGCAAAGGATATGACCGGAGATAATACGTGTAGAGAGCTATCAACTAATAATAATAATTTCTTGCGTATAATGTTATGATTTCGATATGTAGAGAGTTATTTCAACAAATTGTCACTAATTCATGCCAATACTGGTCTGAGTGCGAGGATATGAAGAGTTGTTGCAACAAATCATCATAAAGTCATGCGTATTCATTCGTGGTCTCCTCCCGAGCCCATTTGGAACGCCAAGCGACGACACACTATAATGGACTTATCAATGTTGAACCTATATACTGAGACAAAATCCTGAGACCAGGAAGGCTTAAATTTACGCTGAACCGAGAGAAATGGCACAAGTGAGAAGGCATGAGGGAACTATTGCGATACCCCTTTTCTTGTGGTAACAGTACAACGAACCAGCAATAGCCGTATAGTTGGCAAAACTATACTAGGAAATAAAGACAATAAGTCAATTTGTATAGTACTTAGACGTAGCCAAAACATTATTGACCGCCTGAAGAGGACCATGACACTGTTTACAGCGTAAAGAATTTTCTTGACATGCACCAAGAGTAAGTGTGCCAAGCATCCGGTGCGGTGACAACTGTAACCGTTTTCATACCGACCACAGCAACAGCTGTCAGGGCGCATTGACGGATGTAAATATCTATAACAAAAGAATAAAGCTAACAGAGCTCACTTTAAACAAAATATTTCTGATAAGATGATGAATAACACAGGATGTTTGATGGCGCACAAAGAAGTTCAGTGAAAATTATTCTTTCTCACGCGTTGCTATCTAGCGGCGTTCGTGGAAAATACGAAAGTTACGAATCGGGCAAGATGATTCAAAGCCAACGATACTCATACATGTTATTTTCTATTAACTAATGAATAAGGTTAAACTTTTCGTGAAAACTGGCACGTAAATAGGCATGAAAAGCAAACAGGAACTCTTGGACCAGTTTTTTTTAAACATATTTTACGCTTCCACGAGTTTAATTTAGCAGGATAGTTTGGGAATGAGTGATCTATCGACATCGCCCAGCAAGTCATCGATTGTCAATATATCGCGTTATCGGCGCAAAATGTTGGCAATTGAAGGTTAAAATGTTTGAAAACATTCTGGAAACCAGTGAACCAGGCTTTGATATCATACTACAAAATACGAAAGAAATCAACCGATTCTAGAGAAAGACCATCAAATTACGTTGAAAATGCCCACTATTAAAGTGTACTTCCTGGATATAACTGCGATATTTTCATGGTCCGAGCTTCATGAAGTAGAACAAAGAAAATGCCCACGAAGCAGAGTGAGTCACAAAAGTGGGAGAGGGAAAGGCTTGCGTGATGGTGTGCGCGTTGATCAATAAAAGGGTTACCCTCACAGCCGACCATCGTCGACGAGGGGACATAAAAGGAAGACGGAACGAGAACTGCGAACTTCTAACGTAACTTGTCAGGCCGGCAGCACGCGAGAGAGGAAAAATCTAGGCAATGTGATAATTCATCAGCGTCCTCATCACGCCTATATATATGGGATGATGACTCTCGCCACATGATAAATCTCGGCTAAAAATAACGATTTATTAAGGAACAAAATTGTCTTCCTAGATGACCGAATAATTACACCTTCACTTTTGCTTCATATAATACCCCAGCTGCCGGAACTGTAATCAGGAGTAGGTAATGACTGTTGCATTAACAAGTAACGTCGTTATCAGGAGTTATGACCGTTACAATTAACAATTAATGTTGTTATCAGAAGTAATGATTGTTACAACTAACAATTAACGTTGTTATCAGGAGTAATGACCGTTACAATTAACAATCAAAGTTGTTATCAGGACCATTACAATTGACTATTGTTAGACCCAAACATCATCTCTGGGAATTAGGCTAGTCAAATACTAATAATATCTTAACTATTTCATGTTGCAACAAAAACAATGCATCAGTAAAATAATTAGTGAGATTATCAGTCTGTGGGAGCAGGCGGGCAAGCCAGCGGCTACACGAGGGGGGCCTCGTCTGGGCTGAAGGCACGTCGTTACAAAGGCAGGCTTGAGCAAACGAGGGGGAGACTGGCCCGCGAATTAGATGATTGGCAAACCAAGATTGGGCTTAGGCTATTAATGCTGGAGAAAAATAACCTCGGTTAGACGTAAAATACGCACCCGTAAATGGTAAATGGAAATGTTTTGCGTTTTTTTAGCGCATTTTTTCATTCATGGAAAAAATGCACTATTGTACTCGCCATGTCCGTCTGTCTGTCTGTCCGTCCGTCCGTGACCTCAAGTCCGTGACCTCGTCGACGAGAAAATGCGCTCTTCGTCACTCACTGCAGTGAGTACTGAGTTATATTTTTATGCAATTTATCAGAGGAGTCAATAGCAATTACTATGTTGATTTATGAAATTTTAATTTATAAGAAAATATCATTGAATTAAAATCAGTGTCGTGAAAACGTTGAATAGTTTACTCAGAAGCTCCATTGCAAGTATGAGATCACACGCTTTGAAAGGGCAGCTTGCCTGAGACTAAACTTGAAATTTTGGCTTTTTTCTTCGAAGAGCGACCGGTGGAATGATTTTATCAGTGTCCGTTGCAAAAGATAGGCAACTTCAGTCAGGTCATCGCTCTTGTACCAAAACAGTCACAGTCAGCAAACAAATGGACAAACTACCAGATAAGAGGCCAAAAACTTGCAATTGAACGGAATCATATTAGAATTACATTATGCACAACTAATAATACGCCGACGTTCGTTCTGTCTTATAAACATTCCAATTGTAACTCCCAAAAGATAAAAACCACTCATAATAAAGTGTTCACTGTTCAGTCCCCACTTCAAAGGGAAGATTTTAAAAGGCTTATGAAAACAATTTTGATTTATGTAGTTAGTGAGTATATTTATACGCGTGCGATTAACGACCAGAGAATTAGTTGATTTAAATACCAAAATGAAAAACGTTATCAAACATTTTTTCATCGGCGACGATGATTGTCTTTTCTTGCGTGGTTACAGTCACTGATAATTAGATCAGTGGCAAACCAAGATTGGGCTATTAATTAATTAATCTAATCTAATTCTTTAAATCAACTAATTCTCTGGTCGTTAATCGCACGCGTATAAATCAACAAATTCTGCCATCTAAAACTAATTAGTGAGTATATTGCACTAATTAGGATGATTAAGAGCGTCAGATACCCTACATTTTTTTCGATGCATTTATTTATATAAAATAAATTCTTAAAATTAGCTTTAAAATATCGAAAAAATAAAAGATGATTCTTATCAGGAATCACATACCTATATTAAATAAAAATCCTATCTGAGTGAGACGAAAAAAATTATTTCTAAAAGCGGTTGGAAAATTCCTTGATATTTGTCTTTAGGATTGGTCCTTGACGATAAAAGATGCCAGCTTCAACTCTAGTTGGTGGTTGAGCAATGAGCACTGCTCTAATATTCA